TCTCTGTCTCTCTCTCTCTCTCTCTCTCTCTCTCTCTCGCTCTCTCTCTCTCTCGCTCTCTCTATTAGTTTCCTCCCGGATACGTCGGTCCTGTCTTTACCTCCTCCTCGAGGGTAGAGAGAGAGAGAGAGAGAGACAGAAGGAGGGTGTGTCTCCGTGGAATGAATCTTCCCGTGTAGATCGATGTTGCTCTGGTCGTCCGATGATCTCGACGAGAACATTGTTCTTCTCTTCTCTTCTCTTTTTTTCTTTTCTTTTCTCGTCTTTTTCTTTCCCATATCTGTTTTTCCAACCAAGTTTTGGTCGTGGGTTCCAAGCCCCCCAAGAACAGGGAGGGAAAGGGAAGGGAAAGGGGTGGGGATCGAAAGGGGAGTTCCGTCCGGGATCTCCGCGCCACGATGATGATGACGGGACAGACACGCACGAGAGTTCGGGGAATCTCCGCCGCGTCGAGCGGCCGCTGCTGCTGCTGCTGTTGCTGGAGACGAGGTCTCCCGTTTCGGTTTCACGGTCGTGATGGGTGGAACGCACACATATACAAAGGAAGGAGTCACGACGGACGACATGATCGAAGAGCGTGAGAGGTTGGTTTGAACTTTTTTGGTTTTCTCTTTGGAATCTGTTGTGGGTTTTTTCTTTTTCTTCATCTATAGGAATTAGTGGAACCCTCGTCTACATACATGCAAGTCAAGAGGGAAGAATGCCCCCCGGAGACTTTCATCGCGACGGTGGTGATGGATGATTGGAGGGGGAGAAAGAGAAAGAGAATCTGCACCGTCGAGGGACGACGCCGAGATCTCGGGGAGGTCATCATTCTCCCCCCTCCTCGCTGCTGTGTGCCCACAATGACACGGTCGCGCTTCGCTCGTGACTTTGGGGGAAAGAAAAAAAAAGAAGGCAAATGCAACAACGTAGCGACAGATCGGGACATTTCGTCGATCGACGTATATATCCCATGGACATCTCCCATGTCGGGAATTCGTCCTTCGCTTCCGCTCTCTTTCAGATATCAAATGGGGCATATCCAAGGCAATCATCTTTTTTTCAGTTGGCCGGGGCGAGCTTGGCCGGGGGCAGGCCGAGGCCGTTGCGGTTGCGGAAGAAGTAGACGTGCTTGTCCTCGCCCTCGGCGCCGGCGTTGGGCTCGACCCACTGGCACCAGCGGGCCGAGGTCCACAGCGAGGCCAGGAAGCCGAGGGAGCCGCCGCGGGTGTCGGCGCGGTAGTGGCGGCCCATGACCTTCTTGATCGCCTCGGTGGCCTCGTCGGCGTGGTAGAAGGGGATGGTCGAGATGTAGTGGTGCAGCACGTGCGTCTCCACGATGCCGTGCATCAGCGTGCGCCCGATGAAGCCAAACTCGCGGTCGATGGTGGCGGCGGCGCCGCGGGTGAAGGTCCAGGCGTCGCCGGAGTAGTGGGGGAGGGAAGGGTCGGTGTGCTGAAGGAAGGTGATGGCAACTATTTGGGGGAGGATTCATGTTAGCTGGAACTTCTGCCAGGTTCGTGAAAGCTTTGCGAGAGGTCTCATTTCTGTTGGGAACTCTCAAGTCGAGAACTTACCGAGCCAGTGGTTCACCCACAAGTAAGGCGCGATGTACCAGACGGCCAGGTTGGCGAGACCGTACTTGTAACCGATGAAGGCGAGGACGGAAGCGGTGATGGCGAGGCCGAGGTCGGAGAGGAGGATCAGGTACTCGTCCTTGCGCTCGTACAACGGGCTGCTGGTGGTGAAGTGGTTGACGGCGCCGGTGCCGTTCTTCTTGCCGATGCCCTTGCCCTCGGGCTGCTTCTCGTGGTTGTTGTGGCCGGTGACGTTGAGGAAGAGGTACGCGGGCCAGCCGCCGATCTGCTGGGTGATCATGTGCCACGCGGTGTAGAGCGGAGTCTCCTCGAGCAGCTCGTGCATCTCGTGGAGGAGCGCGCCGGTGCGGGTCGCGTGCTCCTCACGGTTGCGGGGCACGAAGACCATGTCGCGCTCCATGTTGCCGGTCGCCTTGTGGTGCTTCCCGTGGCTGATCTTCCAGCTGAAGTAGGGCACGAGCAGGGCCGAGTGCAGGACCCAGCCGACCGAGTCGTTGAGCGTCTTGCTCGGCGAGAACGACTGGTGGCCGCATTCGTGGGCGAGGACCCAGAGGCCGGTGCCGACGAACCCCTGGAGGACGGTGTAGACGAACCAGAGGGCGGCGCGGGCGGGATATGAGGGGACGTTCTCGGGTGTGCAGTAGGTGTTGAAGGCGTAGAAGGTGGCGGCCAGGAGGGCGATGTCTCGGAAGACGTAGTAGAAGCCACGGACGGGCGACCGCTCGAAGCAGTGCTTCGGGATGGCATCGCGGAGCTCCTTGATGGTGTAGTTGGGCACCTGGAATTCGTTGCCGTATGTGTCGACGAGGCTGGATTTCTTGCTGAAGTGGGTTTCCTGGAGGTCCTCGATCGATCCCATGGAGGAGAGCGAGGTGGAGGAGGCGGAGGCGATGGGTGAGTCGCCCGGGGTGCTAGCGTTGGAGTTGCGAGAGGTGGAAGGGACGGATTCCAGGGTCGTGGTGCGGCGGTAGACCGTCGGCTTGGGAGTGGCTGTGGTGGTGCTCATCTTGGCGGTATTTCCGATGATGAGAGGAGGTGAAGGGGAGATCTGACCAGCAGAAGCGCTCGAATAATGTTCGTCTTTGATCTCGTGCGAGCTGGGAGGTTTTCGAAGAGATGAAAGACAATTGGACAATTCAAATGTATCTGTATATCTCCGAGTGGGATTGCTCTTCTCTCTGTGAAATGCAGGCCGAGGTTCTGCCCGGGGAATTTGTTGAGACGCGGTGTAGTGGTGGACCGAGCACGCGTGAAATTCAGCAGCTGTCGGTTGAGGGTCACCCTTTCGAAGTTTCCAGGGTCTCCAGGAGGATTATTAGAGCTGAACTGTCTTGTCTTGTCTCGTCTCGTGAATCGTGTGGGAGGGAGTGTTGCACTGTTGTGATTGCACCCGTCACTGCCCTTTGGAAGGAGAAGATGCAGAGGTGAACAGAGAAGAACGAAGACCGCAATGTCGGGAAGAGCAGAAGAATCTGCGACCGACAAGGGGATAATAAATACCGAGGACAAATAGACTATTTCACCATTCTACTACATGGAGGGATAGTGTGGTCTACTGTGCATGGAGATGGCCCCGGGCGGGCGAATGAGCGTGCGTGCGTTATACGGCAAGGCGGCGGCGGACAGGCAGGCAGGCAAATCGTACGTGCGCAACGCAGCATTGGTGTCGACCTTTGCTGCAGCGTCGAACGAGAATACGCTGGTGGTCCGTAGAGCAAATCCTGGAGTTCAATGGGGCCGTGGTTGGGCGAGAAGTAGGGAGGTGGTGGGCAGCGCGGGTTGCGCATCTCTCTCCAGAGGCAAACTACTGTTGACTACTGCGATTATTGTTACAGGCATCATCACGCACCAGGGCATCATCTTCCGTCCACGGACTAGCGATCATTAGCCACTGTCGCTCCAAGATGCCGCGCCTGGAGAAAAGGGATAAATACAGGACCAGGCCAGCCAAGCCGAGAGGACACGCAGAGGAAGATAGAGGAGAGAGATACCGAGAGGAATAGGGTCAAAGGGGAGAGAGACACACAGAGAGAGAAAGAGAGAGAGAGAGAGTGGCGATGCCTCTCATTCGTGCCTCGGGTCGCCGACGTCCCACTTCGCAGAAGATTGTCCGTCTTGGACCACACACATCTTCTGGCTTTACGCACGTAATGAAGTTTCATCTGTCTGTCTGCGCTGCCATGTGTGCATCCACCAACGCTCCCACGGGGTTCCCAGATGCGCAACATGGCAGCGGACAGTCCGCACACGCATGGAAAACACACACTCACTCACACACACACACACACACGTACACCCGACACGTCTTGCATATCATCATTCGTACCTGTGTTCACGTGCAATTCCTCCTTCGCATACAGAGTACAACCACTCTCGGGAGCTGTGTGTGTGTGTGCTCTCATACACCAATGACGCAGCTCGGAGGGATGTGTAGTCGTTACCGAAGAGAAAACCCGTGGGACCGTGGTCATCGTCTCGCCCAGAACGGCTGAACGAACCGACGATGAGAGTCTGGCGGGGAAAAAATTTGGAGGGCATTAATCTCCTATCAGGCATGGCATTTTGGCGCGAGAGAGAGAGGGAGAGAAAGGGCGGAGTGGAGTTCGCTCTCGCTCTTGGGCGAGAACGAATTGCCTTCTCTCCCGACGACGCTCGAGTCCAGTCCAGCCCAGGTATAACAAGTGGTATAATAATTAAGTGATATTCTCAGTCAGATCTCTCTGACCGCCCACCGCCCTCGGCAAACAGGCCCGCCCGCAACCACTCCATCCATCCATCGTATCGATGGGATCGCGTGGGCGGACGGAGGGCGACAAAGGTCCCGAACATTCCAAGGTTATCTACTGTAGATCAGGGACGACAAGGGAAAGGAACCTTTTTCTTCCCTGCGAGTCTCAGATCGCGCCGCGGGACGCTTGGACCGCCGCCTATTCTCTGCTCTGCCACTTCTACCGTCTACACACATCCGTGACATCGTCGTGCACCGTCTCGGCGGACGACGATGAGTGTCGATGAGCCACGCAACCAGCAGTGATTACTCAGACAAGCGGAAGAACGACAGCCACATGTGCCTCCCCGATTCGTTTTCGTCTTCACGTTCCTCTGTCTCCAATTGCAGTGACATTCTCCGACTGATGACTGGCTATACTGTACAGTGGTAGTCGGTTCGCTTCCAAGGACCTCCCACCCGAGAACGCACTTCCGATCATCTATTCCTCTCGTGCCTCTTCTTCTGGACCTTCTCGCCTTACCTGTGTATCACCAGAAAGGACGTGACAATGAAAGACAGACGATCTTCCTCCTTCCGCCATGGGAGATGAGGTCAGCGATATTAGTCGATCAGTTCGTCAGCTACCCACCCAATGGCATACGTCCATAGGGCAGCATGCAGACCGCACAACGAGCAGAGGAATCGATCCTCCTCGTCGTGAACCTTTACCACCCCTTCTGCTTCTGCCATTATCGTCATCGGGTCTGCGCTGTAACAAACCCACCCAGTGAAACGCCCGCGCGCCAGGCACGGCGCCGAGACCGAGAAAAAACAAAAGCAAAGTGGGAATTCCCATCCCGTCCCATCCCATCCCGAGCCTGGCGCCAAGTTGGCTCGTTATCATTTATCACAGGATTTATTGTGACTTTCCCGGGCGAGCAGGCCGGGGAGAGGAGGGAGGGAGTTTGGAGAGAGAGAGATTTCCCTGCATGATGAGAGAACGAGCGATCTCCCTCACACATACACGGCCCGCCTCTGGGACCAATCAAAGCCCCGAGGCCTGGCAGGTGGGAAGGTTAGATGACCTTTTGTTCCGGCTGGCGGGTCGAGACGCGAACCCTAAGCGCAGGGCGAAAAACCCTTGGAACACCCTTGGGAATTCTCGATCAGCTCGGCTGCTGCTTCACATGCCAAAAAAAAGAGATACGGAGAGAAAGAGGTTGTGGCGAATATTCCACAGCATCCCGCCCGTGACGGAGCAGAACGATGATGGTCATGACGATGATGCTGTAGGCCATTCCCTCATTTCGCAGAGCGCGACCTGGAATGTTCGCCGGAACGGGTCTCTTCGTGTGGCGAGTGGACGCGATTGCCCATCCTTACTCATTTCCATGCGCCCCACGCTCGACGTCGATCCTCATTTTCGCGTCTCTTGCCTCTGCCTCTGCTTCTGCTGCTGGTGATGGTGATGGTGATGCATCAAGGTCTGGATGCGGACCGCCGCGTGGTCGATCAATGTCGGTAAAGGGCCGCTTCCTCCCCAACGAGCGATTGAGCATTGCTCTCACAGCTCCTTGTGTCTTTTCTCCCCGGATCGCTCTGTGGGCGCATCCAGGTCACGGTCGTAGGCCTGTTCCTCTCTGTAGAACTTCTGGCTCTCGTACGCGGGCGAGGTGGGCAAGTCCAGCGACCTCTGCGACCGAGGGACGGTGATGATGATGATGGAGTCGTCTCTTCCACGGGCATGAGAGTCGCCCGTCCGTAGATGTGGGTACCACCTCATTGTCCTGCTCTTGCGTCGTGCCCCTATGCCGTCCGAGTCGTGCCCCGGATGACCACCCGAACTCTCACCACAAGCCTCTCGTACATCGGTCGTTCTTTCCTGCTCCGGTTGGGAACTGCGGCCGTAACCTTCCTGAACGCACGTTGTGGAAGTCGCCTGTTCGCGTGATGTTGTCGGGGCGGTCCTCTTCCTCTTCCTCTTCTTCTTCTTCTTCTTCTTCTCCTTCTTCTCCTCCTTTCTCCTCCTCCTCCTCCCCGAGGAAAACGCGAAGGACTTGCGGGAGATGAATCTCATCAGCACCACAGCTGTATAGCACACCACCGAAGATGACGGTGATGTCGTGGCAGCCGAGTGCCGAATGTATCTACGTTCCCGTACTGGAGTGGCTTTGTCGAGCAGAATTTCCTACGTGTTCACTTGTACTTGTGTGAATCATTGGTCTTCGAGAAAATGGAAATGCAGCGTAGAACTGTCCAGTGTATCTCTGTATCGCTGTCTCGGACAGAACCCGACTCGAGAGAACGCCTGTTCCCACTGGATCCGACATGGTTCGTCAAGGCTCGGCAGCTCACATCTAGAATTGGATCGAGCGTGTTGGGCATCATCTGGCATGGTGAAGACGAATCCATGTGAGAACGTCCATTCTTGCCCTTCCATTCTCGCCAAATGCTTACAGGCTCTCCGTGAGTTGTCGAGAGTTCTGGGGAAGGTCCCCGCCATCGTGGAGACGCATCCACGTCTCGGTACGTCCAGTCCTCAAGAGCAATTCTGCTGCGGCATCGAGGTCCCAACCAGGACGTGGCCTTCTTTCTCCTATAGCAAAATGTCTAGCGATGGACGACAGCACAGCCACCTCCCGTCGCGTGAAGTGCAGACCAAAGGAAGACGAGGAAATGCTCAAGACCAATTTCCCGTTCGCCGCCTCACAATGACAAGTGCACTCACCCGGTCCCGTCGTGGATATGTATGTCTGAGGCGTCTTGGACTGTACATCTCGTCTCGTGAGCTGTCTGTGCGGTGACTTCACTCGTTGTGTCCGGTGACAAAATGTAAAGCCTCTACAGTCCTTTCACCATCGGTCTGATCATGACCTCTTCTGGCGCGAAGGACCCCGAGGCGGCATCACCCAACGCCGAGCAGTAAACCACAAGACCGACCATCGAGACATGGAGAGCACAAGTAAAAAATGATAACGCTTCAACACCAACCGACCCCGGAGTATTTTCTCCGGTGTGTGCCGTATGCCCAGTCGGTAACAATACTGCCGACCTAGGTAGGACCTGGAATTCCATCCACAGACGGCACGATGTTTTCAGCGAGCTATTCCCTACGACAAAACGAAACATTGTTTCGACTCGGGACTGGATGTATTTCCCTCTACTAGGTATGTATCTCTCTCGATCTCTCTTCCCCCCACAAAAACCCAACCGAGACTCGCCTGGTCCGCCAACCCCGCCATGCCCAAGATCCCGCTGCCCCCCGCCAAAATCTGCCGGCCCGGGGCTCCGCGACCACCACCCACCAGCCAGGAATCGCGGCCGAGAGGGAGAGAAAGAGAGCAGCGGTGAGCGGTCTGCTAGCATAGCAATTCGGCCACGACAAGAGGATCGCTCTGCTGTGATGGCCGCTCGCTCTCAATCCCTGCCTCGAAAAGTAAAAAAGAAAAAAAAGGCCGAGGGCATAAATTCGAGGGATTTTCTTCTCTCGAAATACGTTTTCAGAGTTGGGAAAAGTTGTAGACATGTCTATCCAACCCGTCGTCCATCCATCCATCCATCCATCCTTATCGGCGTTTCCTTTCCTCTCCTACCCTTCAGCCCTCGGAGAATTCCCCACTGCCGTCGTCGCGGCACCATCCCAACGAGCTAAAAAAGGCAGCTTTCCCCAAACCGAGTTCCCTTTTCCCAGCCGAACCGTACCTTTTCTCCCGATAGGGTGGGAGACCATCGGTCAAGTGCCGAGAGAGCAACGAACTCTCAACGGGGGGAAAAGGCATGGACCATACTGGATTCCTTGTCTCGCTCTCCTGTACGTCCGGAGAACGACGGGGATATTAGATTTAGATTGGAGTGTAGAGAGAAATAGAGACACGTGCTCTACGATGATTTGCGCGCTGCAGATGCAGAAACGCCTCGACACACTCTCTCTCTCGCACGCGCGCGGAGCTCCGACGGCGTGCCGGGAACTGGGGCACATCATTATCAGAACGATAGTAACGAACGGCAGCAGCAGCAGCAGCAATGGTACAGGAGCGAACAGTCAGACCGCTTCTTCATCGTCATTCGACGGAGCCCTTCGGCATCTTCCTCGGAGGAGGGGGAGGGGCTGGGGGCGGATGACGGGAGGTACGGTAACTCTATTGCCTCTCGATGTCAAAGTACCGTGCATGTTCGGTTCCGCTGTGTACGTATAGATTCCTTTTTTTTCGCGATTCCCCGTGTCCCCCGTCGTGTCTTGATAGGTGGGCGATAACGGAAATGGGGAAAGGGAAAGAGCCCTGGTGAGTGAGTGAGACAGGGAGCGCAAAAGGGCCATCTTGGGTAGCAGGGAAAGCATAGCGTTTGACTTTTCTCGAAGAACTTCTTCATCATCGCTGCCCGTTACGTCGTCGTCGTGATTAATCTCTCCCATCGTTTGAGGGTTGTCCCCCCCCCTCCCCCGTCTTCGTCGTCGTCGTCGTGGTTCCTCGAGATACATCAACACATCGCTGCTATGCAACCCTGGACCAGCGTCGCAGAGATGATCGACTTATGAATCCGGAAGGGAGCGGCATTGCTGCGAGGCACACACTTCGACCACGAAAAAGAGAAAGAGAGAAGCAAGCAAGTGAGCAAGAACAGCTTCAAGGAACGAAATCATCACCCCGAGGATTACAGGCCCTACGCGACCCTGACCACCACGAAGGCCCTCAAAAGAAAGCCTCGCACCCACCGACTTTCCCCCTCCGACCATGAACGCCGCCACGACCGTCTTCTCCATCGCCGAACTCCTCGAGCTCATCCTCCTCGCCCTGCCCAGCGTCTCCACCAGCCAGGAGCTCCTGGCCATCCGCACCATCCTCCTCGGCCGCACCACCACCCGCGCCTGGCACCTCCTGCTCTCGCGCTCGACCCGGCTGCGTCAACGCCTCTACCGGGCCACGCCCGCCGGCCTCCTCGCCGCCCACAAGGACTGGGCCGTGCCGCAGTGCTGTCCGCCCGCCCGGCCGAACCCCTGGATCCCGCCCCTGCTGCTGCAGCAGCGGGGGTGGGGCGCGCTGTACCCCTTCGACGACGTCTACGACCGATACGGCGTGGCGGCCGCCGCGCCCCGGCACTGGACCTTCTCGGTGGAGTTCTCCGCCGCGCAGTACCGGCGGCGGCGGAGGGTCGACGATGCCGCGCGGGGCTCGTGGCGGGACATGTTGGCGGCGCAGCCGCCGTTCCTGCGGTTCTGGTACACCCGGTGCGTGTATGAGCTGGGCAGCGGCCGGGCGCCGTTCGTCACGTATGTGGACTATGAGCCCGGGAGGCCGAAGAGCCGGCAGAGGTATTGCGTGCATTGCGCGGGAGGGGTGACGTTGGGGGCGATCTGGGACGCGGTGACGAGGTTGTTTGAGGAGGATCCCGGGGCGCAGTTCGTGATGGTGGAGAGTTTGTGTCCGACGGAGGATGGGGAGGATGGGGGAGGCGGAGATGTGGATTCGGTGGTCGAGCTCGGATCGGACTGCTCGGCGGCTCCAGGGGTCGTCGTGGCACGGAACGGGTGAAGGGCGTGCAAGACATGGCATTGTGCACCCTTACGAACTGCATGAGCATTGCATGGCTCTCTGGTATCTGGGGACGTCGCCGCAGAGGCGCTCCTCCTCGGCCGAGTCCCATCCCCAAGAGTCGTTGAACGGTGCGAGCGTCATCTCCATGATGCGATCGAGGATTTCCCTTTCGCCCTTCTTCTCCACTCGATCGATCAATTCATCGAGGATCCATGATCGGGGGATGAAGTTGGGATTGACCGACTTCATCGCAGTGACACGCTCCTCGTGAGCATTGGCCGAATCAGACCAGTCCTCTAGCACACGTCCTCGCCACTTCTCGAGCCATTTCGCGATGCGAGCTCGAGCATCGGCTTCGCTGCCAACCGTCTTGCTCAGACCTTCATGGTGGAAGAAGATCCCGGCGACTTCCTTGCGCTTCTCATCCGTGTCGATCTCATCCGTGTTGATGGAACTCAGTTTTCGGAAGGTGTGGTTGAAGTCCAACTCAAAGGCTTCGAGGGTGTCGAGGAGCTCCGAGTACAGTTCATCAAAGTCGGACTGTTTACTTTGGCGCAGGCCGAGACGCGCTGTCATGAGGCGTTTGTACTCCGCCATGAATACCGCGCGGTATTCCTCGCCCGTCTTCTCGATGAGATTCTCCGCGCGCTTGACCAGCTCATCGACAAAGTCCTTTTCAACACCATCCTCGACGAATTTCTTGTCATCACATCTGGCTCCAGCGCCGATGAGTTCCCCGAAAGCCTCGGCCAGCCGAACGAGGTTCCACCAGATGATACTGGGTTGATTCTTGTAACAGTAGCGGAGCATGTGGTCGTCGTGGTTCGGTGTGTAGTTGGGATCGAAATTGTCCAAAAATGCAAAGGGGCCAAAGTCGATGGACAAGCCATAGATGGAGGTATTGTCCGTGTTCAACACGCCATTGGTGAAGGCATACGCCTGCCAATGTGCCACCATTTTGGCATTGCGCCGAACAATCTCCCGGTACAATCGCGTGTAGCGGTTTTCCTCGTTCTCAGCCGATCCTTGAACATCATCCTTTGGGACGCCCCGTGGGAGGTCCACCACGGCTGCTTCGTCGTAAGACGGTGGTTTGGCTGGTAAGGACTCCCAACCAGGAAATACTTCCTCTCCAACATAATCTGCCAATTTACGGATGAGAACACGATCGCCTCGTGACCGAGCCAAGTCGAAAGTGCCGATGCGTAACCACGACTGTGCAAAGCGTGCCACGATAGCTCCTGGCTCCATCATCTCTCGCCGGACTTTCTCCTCTGGTCCCAGTGTCAGACTGAGTGCGCGTGTTGTAGGAATATGTAACGCGTGGAGGGCTTCGCTGACGACGAATTCCCGAATGCTGCTGCGCACTACAGCCCGCCCGTCGGCGAATCGAGAATACGGTGTCTTCCCCGCCCCTTTCAGCTGGATCTCATATCGTTCACCTGTTGATGGGTTGGTGGTTTCGAAAAGAGAGATGGCACGACCATCGCCCAACTGTCCAGCCCATTGGCCGAATTGATAGCCACCATAACACTGAGCCCAAGGATAGACAGCGGTGTCCTCGGGCGTCCCATCCTCATCCGGCAGAGTGATGATCTTCTCACCCGAGACAGTCCTCTTGAAATCCTCGGAATCGATGGTCGTCGGGTCAATGGCCAGGTCGCGCAACGCCGCCTTGGACACCCCCACCAATTCCGAAGACTTCATCGCATCTGGTCGGACAAAGGTGTATGCAGCATTTTTGACCAAACGAGGTCCGAGGAGCTTCCGTTCGGCGGCGTGGGAAGTCGCGGGCGTGGGATACTCCTCATCGGGCGGGAGTTTGCGAGTGAAGTTGTTGCTTTTCGGCAGTGCACTGATGTCAAAGGTCTTCTGTGGTCCATTCGTCGCGTCGCTCGCCGCGTTGCTGATATGAGCCGCCATTTGTGACAGACGGGATGTGATGGCGCTTGGTCTTCGAAGCAAACGTCCACGAAGCATTAAATTTGCAGTCGTTCGTATAAGCCCGCAAATGGAGCAGATGAATCACTTGCTTCTACAATAGTGTCTTGTGTATGGATTTGATCGTATTTGCAGTCATGAATTTCCGAGTACATGTACATACAGTAGATAGCGACGATGGCCACTCGCGAGATTTGCCTCTGGATGGCTGTAGAAGAACATCACGTCATAACCTCGTTGAGTTGTTGCTAACACAGCGGAAGAATCACGGAAGGCGACAACAGCGTGGGGAATGATCAACAACTGAAATCCTCATGAAAGTCAACGACACCTCACTCGATCACCAACATATCAGTCCATCTTCCTGATGTCGATGGCGGAATGCAACGACACCTTCGATGATTTGCATGATTGCCTCATCGCTATCGATGCGGGCGGACAGGTAGGCTCTGACTTGTGATTATCCGTTGGGAACGTACGATGAGGTTCTCACCGGGTTGGCTTCAGCACGTTCGAGCCCAATGATACACCGTCGCCCGTTGAATAACGCTCAAGTTGGGTCTTCTATATACGCGGGAAATGCCCTGTTGCAAATGTCTCCGATCCATGGTTTGTCTTCGCAGGATTGACGGAGAGTCCTCCGCGGCGGCTCAACGGCCGAGTCTAGAGCAAGCGTTGAGAGACCTGTCTAGACCTCGACAACGACGACGACGACGACATCGCTGTTTTGCAAACGTCTTCCTCTTGTGTAAGACACTGAAAAGGACGGATCTCGATGCAAGAGTCTGTGAGATGCTACACAATAGCTGCTGATATTGGGAGCATCGATACTTATCACTGAAATGGACGCGTCATACGAGGGCAAGGCCGTCAGCGAGCACGTTGAGCCGGGCAAAGCAACCCGCTCCCTTTGTCTTCTGAGCCCAAAAGCATTACATCTTGTAATTCTCCGGCCTCCCACCCAATGTCTCGTGGCACGCTTGACAAAGGGAACCAAGGAGTAGGACGAATCCAGCCGAAGCCGTGACGATATTGAAATCTCTCTTTCAGACGGATGCCCGTGTCCACGAGACCAACACTCAGAGATCCCGGGACCCCTAAACACAACATACCTGAGCATTCTAATGTGGACCGCATGAAAGGAGAGGCGAATGCGTACCACATACAAAGCGCGTGCATATGCGTTTCACACCGTTCCCAACTTGCGTCTTATATATCTCCGAGGTATGGATCCCAAAATTAAACATTTTTGTATCAACGGGAAAGGCCATGATGATGCCCAATTCGTCAGAGCCACGTCTTTGGGGGACCATCCGAGCCAATCTGTTGCACAGAAACCCCCCAAATTTTGAAGAGTCGGTCGCACGCATATGTCCGTGAAAGTCCGGGTCGTGTCGCACGGAAGGGCCTCGAGCTCGTATCCACAAGTCGATGGGGGAGGAGGAGTAGAGCTAGAGGGGAGTGTGAATCGTACAGGACAACACTCCCTTCGCACGATGTAGCTTCTATCACGAGATGGCAGAGAAGCATCTTCTTCGCCGGAAGACATTTGTGACATCGACTGAGACGGGCTCGGGTGACAAGGATCTACAGCCCCTTCGGAACGGATGCGGAATGGAACGACAACGGACTAGGCGCGTGAGTCACAAGCAGGCCCTCAACGATATGATTTGAAATATCATCATGGTTGCCGAAAGCAGAAGCAAAAAAATGGATTTCTACATCACGGAAACTGGCATGATGGTGCTGCCCGGAGATGCTGCGACATGAAGAAGTTTCAGGTCCTTCAAAACAGGCTAAATTCTTCTCGGTCTCGACTGCGTGTAGAACGGGAGAACCAAAGCAGCAAGTCGCGATGCCGTGAGATCGGCGCACACAGAAACCTCGGCCACACAAAGGACACAGCGACAGTATGTGTGCCACAGCAGCATGCCGTGTGACCCAAAAAAGGAGCGCTGTGCGTCAACTTCGACTCGTGTTCCCACTGCAATCTACGCAGCGGGACAGAATCGGAAGCAGCACTCCGCTGCTGCCAACAAGAAGAGGAAGAAAGGGGGGGGCTGGTCACACGACATGGCCTTCTCACATCGCACGTCGTCACCCATGACGGATTGAGATCACGCAGGCGGCAGCGGCAGCAGCAGCAAATGCAGAAGATTCGAGCAACTTTCTCGGCAGGGAACCATTTTGCATGAAGAGGAAATCTTCCTCTCCCCCTAGTCCATGTATACCAACACCGTTAGAAACCGCCCGCCGGTGTTTACGTGAAACCGTCGTGTACAGGTTTACTGTTCTGTACTGTACCGTGGCACCAGCGCAATGGCCAGACTCTCGTGCGTGCTGTGATGACACGGTGCGAGAATGAAAGGGAGAAAAGGCAGGACTTACTGTACCTAATCCATTGAAGCTCGGGGACTCAAACAACGGGAAAGAAAGGTTGAACTCCACCGGCATGACATGCACCGCCTTTCACTCTCCCATCATAGTGACAATCGAAGTGAACGAGACGCCGCCGTCCCGAGGCAGCATCACGGAGATTGTCCACCGAGGGGGGGAACAAACGCGCGTGATGCAGACACGAGGAAACCCGTCGTTGTTCTAGAGCTCCGTCGGGGCGTCCGGTCGGTCGTTCGTGAGACGGGTCTTTGCTTTGTTTTATCTTTTCCAAGAGAAAGCTGGATGGTCGAGTGTCCAGGACGGCTTTGGCCGTGGCATGGACAGACGATACATACAGGGCGAGACATTCTGGAAGGGAGGAGAAAGGGCTGAGTCGGCCTCGGTTGCGAAAGGCCCCATACGGGCGTTCCATTTCGTTCTTTTGGCGACTCATGTTTTGTCTCTGTCTCGTCGAAGAGACGTCAGGGGAGGTTTGTAGTAAGACACGGACGCCGTCTCACCGTGCTGGGTGGCGTCGAGGAGGGCCACGCGCGATCATGGTAAGGAGAGACCGTTGCTTGTGCAGTGATAACCAATCCTCTCTGCCCTGAGTGCTCTGAAACCTTTTAGTGTCTCGCTGTTTTCCCCTGGGAGATTCTCAGCCAGCCTAGCAGGCCGTTGTCCGTCGAACGACGGGATCGCAGGGCCGTCGAGAATCTCTTCTAGAAAAGCGCGGCTGTCTCGGGTGGAAGAGATGGTCGGGTCTGCGACCGTGAATCGAACGCGTTGGGTACCAGACTGCACTTTTCTCTCTTCCATCCGGTGCTGGTGCTGGTGGTGTGCTTGGCCGTTTGCATCCACCAGCATCCACCGCACACCCTCTTGGTCGACGAAGTGCTCTCGGGTTCAGCGGTTCGTTTCTCCAAACGACCACTGACCATGGTGATGGGTGACACCGAGTCTCTCCCTGTTGGAAGGTCTGTGATGATGTTTTTGAACCCTGTGGCGTTGTCCTGGAAAGGCGCTCGCTCAACAGGCTGATGGCATTGGGGTCCTGTGCGCTGTGTTCCCCTCGTTGCGCACTCCGCGGAACGAGCGCTAAATGGAACGCAGGCAACGACCCTGGATCGATTGCGGCATGAAACCACCCATCGCCTCTCGCTCTGGACCGTCCTATGTGAAAAGCAGGTTTCCTCGTGACGGCGCAGAGACGCGCGATACTGGCGAATGTGTATCGCACATCTCTTGCCTGACGCAGAGAATTTAGTGGTGGCTTTTTCAATATCGGGCGAGCCATCAACCAGGTTTTCCCGAACGTGCCGTGATGTACCTTTCAAGGATCTTGGTGCTGGGTCGGTTGCGCATTGTCCCGTGGTGGATCATCGTCTGAGTTGGTATGTATACCTCCCTGCAGACACGGACTACCCGCGTCGCATCGGAACTCCTGGAAACGATCGTTATGCGGACGAACTGCACGCGTGCAGATATATTATATTGTGAAGATGTATAATATATGATCTGGGACAGGGATGCATCCGTGTTGAGAAAGGCGCGCGCCCACGATGTATTCTGAGATGGATGGATAGTTGGTGGTGTAGCGTGTAGCCAGCCAGCCGTCAGTGCAGGGCAGCGCAGCGCAGCGCAGGGCACACAGGCCTAGCGGCCACCTGCGTCATCAATTCTGGGGGGACGGGGGCGGGAACCAAGGGTCGTCGGCCAATATTGCCCCAGGATGTCAGCCCCTGGCCGCTCCGCCAAGTCCAATTCAATACCGAGATAAGCTCCATCTCCATCACCGCTGCGGCGCAGTCGAGTCTCCCCACCGACACGCGTGGAGAGAGGGAGAGTTGGTGACAGAGGGGCAACAAAATGTACAATGGTTAGAAGGCCATGTCTCGAAGATGAGAGGAACAGCGCATCGCCATAGAGGAGGGACATACTCACGATGCTGTGTGGAAATGGGATGATCGGGGCGAAACCCCGTGTGTCGCATGAAGCCACCACATACACACATACACAGACACACACACCGAGCCGTCTGCACAACTGAGGGCCATACCGCAAGTTCCCGAAGGAAATTCTCCAGTGGGTAATCACACATGTCTCGGCCTACCCTTGTCATCAGTTGCCGAGCCGAAGCCGGTTTGGGGGGCAGCTTCTGTGACAGTAGCTCCAACAGCTGTACAGTAGTCTGTGATGGAAACTGTAAGCTGCGTCGCCGGCAAAGGGCCCCAAAAGGCAATCCATATAATCCCGCTCGGCGTGCTGCTGCTGCTGGTGCTGCTGCTGGTGCCGGTGCTGCTCCTGTCCGGTCAGTACTGCTGCAGTTCTTCGGAGGACGCGCGCGCGCGCAATGGACGGACGGAAACTCCACCCGAACGGACCCCTCTGAGATCCGTCACTTGATAATATCCGAGCCGTTTTGGGGCGAGGGAAAAATCGCCGTGGTCTGTATAAGAGCGCGAGATAGACTTTGTACCTATCGAGATTTCGCGATGGACTGTTCCGTTCATCTCTCAACGCGTCGGCGGGAAATCACGACGCGCGAGACAAACGGGACAAGAAGTTGATCAGACGCCCGAATGCCGAGGGAGGTCTTTCGTGACTCGCGTGTGTCGGTGTGTCTGTGTACTGGAGAATGACGATGTGCACGCGCTTCCCCAGTCGCAATCAATCGTCCATCATCAAACAATCGGAGACAGGGAGATGGCGTGATGTGATTTATTATATGATTATTACACCAGCAGATCATAGAGGGTTGCAGATCGGCCCGCATTTGGCTTTTCTTTCCGCATCTACATACGTTGTCCTCCGACAGGCCCATTGCTGATTTATTACTGGAGTTCTCACCTCGGTTAGTGGTGTTGCTGCTGTTTCGGAACCTCTTGTCCGCCTGCTCAAAGAAATGTCAATGCCCCAACGGACAACCTTGGAAATGCAAGCAGGCGGGTATCACGTGCAGAAATGTGAACGTGTAGGGTGGGGAGACCCCCGCTACAGAGAGAGAGGGAGAGAGGGAGAGAGACAGAGACAGAGACCGTCGGGCAAGATCCGGAGCGATGGATTCCGGGTCGGTCTTCATTAAAAGGCCACACCTCTGGTCTCTCCGCCGCCGTGGAGGAGGGAGTCAAAAAAGCCAACAGCAGAGAAACAGGCAAGGACAGTCCACTCCAGGAACAACAATCAGCAGGATGACATGGTCCTGGGAATCCCCCAGGTCTGGTCCTCCCGCCTGCTCGACGGTTTACCAACATCTCCTCTGCTGGGATCCGCGCCCCGTGGAAATCGAATCCCTTGCTTCCCTGCCGTGAGCGATCCTGGAGGCGGTGGCGGTACCGGTACTATTGTATCACACTTATCATCACAGTGGATGTATGTATGTGTATATGTAAGGTATGTAGGTCGTGATGGGATCCCTGCAGCCAGACAGACCTGGCACACCTGGGTAGCGAATAGGACTTTTCCATGGGAAGCATATGCCGGGACGAGGAAAGTCTAACGCCACAATCTGCGTGGTGATTTTTTGTTCGGTTTGTGTTCTCCGTTTGAGATGCTCGGATTTCTTTCATTGGTGAGAATTTCTCTCGAGTCCATAGGAATGGCGGCTTCGAGGACAGCTTGGTGGTGGTGGTGGTGGTGGCGTCGAGCAAAACGCCGCACACACCGGAGGAAGAACATGGAGGAGGGACAGACAGACAGACAGACAGGACAGATGGACCGACGAGACATGGGACAAGCAGCTCGGTCTCGGACCAACTGTTGTTCAGGGAAAGATCTTTTGGGATCTGAAGAAAGTGTGTGTGTGTGTGCGGACGGACGAAGCCAACCGGTCTCGCGCCGTTCCAATTCCAGCAATGAACTGGCTCGTGCTCGCACCCAATTGCCCCAATCCTCGTCGCACACCCTCCCACCCTCATCCACACGTCTCCTCGACACATCGCTAGATCTCATTAGCTCAAACTCTATCGCGGCTCGTATAGCCGCCGTCTCGAAATCAAGTCGGGCCCGCCATCCCAGTCGCGGATCGCTCGCTCGTCCGGCTCGATCATAGCTTCGTCAGTCAGCACCGACCCATCTGCGCCGTAGAAGCGACGGTAGAATCTTGATCATCGTCATCATCTTCACCTTCCTCATCATCAGCACTCTCCGCGAAACTGACGCTAGGCGATTCGCGGTAGGTGGACGAGAGGAAACGGTCGTCGGACTGGCGTGTGATGGGATTCTTCTCGTCGAAGACGCGAAATCACCACCATTTTCAACGACGATGTTTCATCACACGCCGCCCGCTCGTCCCTCCTCTGTGCGCCGGCGAGGGATGAGGCTGAATCGGGCGAGGTCATACAGCAGGGAAGGGTCCCTCGCTTCTCGTCATACAGTAAGTCCCACACTGGAATAAACCCCGACCGCTGAGGAGCGACCACCGCAGTCCTCGTCGTCTGCCTGTCTGTCCGAACAATCTATCTGAGTCGGCCAAACCGTGCGTGGGAGAGGGTCCCGCGTGTCTTTCCCCTTCGATCGGGACGTCTCACTTTACCTACCACCTTTCGCCAGACCGCGGGCGCGGCGCGTGGGCGCAGCGTGCGCGAGAGACAATCGATGTAATTCTCACCCATGCCCATCATCTTTTCTGTTGGACCATTCGTGCACGTGTCGCCAATCCCAGGTGAGCGACCGCCCAAAAAGCACCGAGACATTTCTGGACGACGCCGCCCCCCGAGTCACGCGTCCTGGGGAGGGACAGGCTGAAGTTCGGAATTCGCGGAATGCCGAGATTGGGTTCGTCGGTTAGGAGTTGCTGCCGACGCTGCCCATCAGCGCGAGACGTCCAAAGCAGGGTGGATCGACAACGCTGCTGCGTCTGCTCCACTGTGAAGGAAGTCGGACATGTACTGTATCGAGTCTATTATTGCTATGAACCGGATGGGGGCAGATCTTCTACCTCTCCGGCCATGGAAGATTTCCCAGGCCAAACCGTGACAGGCGCGACTTTCTGTCGATCGACAGGACGGACCTTCGAGGTTCCGAGATACACAGAAAGGTCTATGTACAGCACCACGTTTTCCACACACACTTCCCTCTCTTTCTCAAAACTCTCGTCCGCGTGGCCTGAGTGTTTCCCTTCTCGCCCGTTGTTGTTCGAAGATTGGATGATTGATGGTGATGATGTCTTCAACACACACCCCCCCCCTTGCAAGTCGACGATCATCCTCCAGGGCAAGGCGGGACGGGACGGATCACGCGGCATTCGCCTGTGCCCTTGCGCGCGCGCGTGTGTGGGTGAGACTGTCGTCTCTCGGCACGGGACATGGCGCTATTTCTGTACATGTGTGTGTAGGTGTACAGGCAGGTGCAGGCAGGTGTAGGTGTAGGTGTGTTGTCTCCATCACACTCTCATCATCGCCCGCGACCGACGACCGTTTCGCTTAATAATACGACATCCTCCCTCCCTTCCTTCCTCCGGCTTCGGCTGAAGTCGTGGGTGCAGAGCATCGCACATATGTCGCTGCATGTCCGACCCGGGACGCGTTCTTCCATGCATAAATTCTCTACGGGTCGACACTCCCTCTCCACTCATCATCCATATCATATCGTATCATATCATATCATATGTGTGAGAGAATCAGAACCGCCGCCTGGACGTGGACGGGATTGCCCTCCTTCAGGCAAGGCAACGGTCGATGAGGAACCACGCACGTGCGCAGTATGCTCCGACGATGATGGATTTTGTATTTTTTTAGCTTTTTTTTGCTCCGGTGGAAGGAGAGGGCGAACCGGTTGGGCTATTTCGCGACCGCTGAATCGTTAGTCGGTTGGTCTTCTCGGGGCGCTCTCTCCAGTATTTGGTGTGTCTCTGTTTTTGGACGGGCCGCACCTCTCGAGATGAGGGTGATGATGGCGATGATGAGGAGGAGGAGGAGGAGGAGATGTCATTCATCGGGATTCCTTCGTCGCGATACATACACGTGATGGGCATTGTCTCGGGGTTTCACCGATGCTCTTTTTGTTAATTTATTCTTACCACACAAGCCTTGCCCTCGAGGCCTGCTGGACCCAACCAATGGGCATTGGTCCGAGAGGATGATGTCTTCTCCACTCAGGCATTCACCGTCTCCCGATGAGAGAGGGAGAGGGAGAGGTGTGTGATAACTCTGATTGGTGGGGAAGCCTACCAACGCCCATCATCATCATCATTACTGTACCCTGCTTTTCTCGTCGCCAGTTGTCCAGCATATACATAGCTATAAGAGCTATGATACCTAGTGGTAGTGTTGTAAAGTACGTACTGGACTATTGTATGTGTACCTCTCTGCACTCTATTATATTACGTGCGGGACGAAGATGGGACGGCGCTGATCCCATGTGCGAAGCGGAGTGGGTGTGCAGCTCTCCTGTCTTATATCCTGTAGTCCTCCATCATCACTACCCAAGTATCGATGTTCATACTTACTCCGATGAGTTGGTGGGAGGGAGTGGGAGGTGATGATATATACTTTCTCCGTCCTTGATTGGTCGATCATCCACGATCCCTCCCATATACACATACACACACACACACAAACACACGCACACACGCAGATATACTCTCACGTGACCCACACACCGAAGATTTGGCTTTTGGCTTTTGGGCTTTCCCACCTCCGTCTCCTTCCCGCCGCCCGTCTCCCTGTCTCTCTCTGTAATCACTCCCGCACAACACACACACCCATATCATCGGTCCCACACTGCCACCTGCCACCACCGTCGTCCACTACCGCTACCGCTACCACTACCACTACCACTACCAATGCCACCACCAGCATTTACCACTACCATTTACCACCACCACCACCACTACCAACTACCAACTACCAACTACCACTAGAACTTCCACTACCGCTGCCGTCTCTGCCATCAAACTGTAACCGGGCAGTTCCACTCGCTCCGACTCTCCACACCTCCCTCTCTCTCCCTCTGTCTCTGTCTCCGTCTCTCTCTCGAGTCCCCTTTCCCAGCTACTACTGTACGTACTATTACTCCCGCTACTGATGTACATACTCTAATTCCTCCCGCTGTGGGTTGGCAGTGAGCGTGCGCGCGACAGAGAGTGAAGAAGGGCCCACCCGTTCGCCGTGTTCGCCATTCGCCATTCGCCATTGTCCGTTCGCCGCCGCCGCCGCCGACGCGCTTGTCCCATCCTGTGTGCGCTCACACCCTCTCCTTCACCATTTCGCCTACTCCTCCCCATTATCCACTCCCTCTCACTCAATCTCTCTCTCTCCGATTCTTCACGTCCTTCCCTCATCGCCATCCGCCGACCGTCCCAGGAACTGCCCGGAGGTTCCTACAAACACCTCGCGCGTCCGGACGAGGGTTCTCTTTCTTGTTTCTTTGCAACACGCGTGTGGACGAGTGTCATCCAACTTGGGCGCACTCGCATTTTGGCATCATTCCTTCCGGTCTGGTTTAACAGCGCGCGACCCGACGGAGAGGAAACCCGCGCGCGCGACTCTTGGACTCGACCTTCAACCGCAACCTGCATCCAGCACATCCAATTCTTCGCCCCAGATATCGTTCATCGACCTCTTCTACTACTACTACTACTACTTCTTCATCACCTTTCGCATCACATCCATCTCCACCGCGGAGAGGGGATCACACAGGAATTGCGCTTGCCTCGTCATCCCGACGACGACAGACAGCACAGCACCGCCATCCGCTTGGAACCGTCTTGGCTTGGAACCGTCTTGGCCGTTTTGGAAGATTCATTGCTCGCACGGGAGAATCCATCCTCCGTCCGGTTTTTTCTTTGTCTGCCGCCGTATGCCTGTACGACTGCTGCCCGCTACTGCTGTGTATCCGTCCGCGACCCTGGGAAGCTGAAGCGCTCACTGGGGAAATCCCTACCCACTCCGCCGTCATCTCATCCTTCTCCCTCTCGGCCACTGACTGCTCCTTCAGCTGGCGTTCTCGCTCGTCTCATCTCCATGGTCCGGATCATCGTCTAGGACCATTGACGCCCGAGGAGGAATTCCCATCTCCTCCCACTCATATCTTGAAACATATTGGAGCATTTCGCTGCCAATCTGTTTCCCTCTTTTCCCACCATACTAATCATCACTCGTGATTCTTATCATAATCATCATCGTCGTCGCCCGACATGGACGCTCACGAGAGACGTGAGCTCTACAACAATGTCATCGAAGTCGACAATGAGACCACCGCCGTCATGACCCGGACCACCCTCGAAGGTCGCACATTGCGCTACGAGCTGAATGTCTTGCAACAGCCCGAACGCGCCCGCGCCTGCGGTCAAGGTGTCAAATCTCAAACCGATCGCCGGCCGGTGGACCCACCTCCGATCATCGAATTGACCATCAAGGAAGGTGAGGGGGACCGCTTCGACAAAGACGTCACCCAATCCATGCACGCCAACTATGTCATGTTCGCTTCTCTGGAACAGGCCCGTCCGATGGCTCGCGCCCGTGGTCACCCCGAGAAGAGTGCTCCCACCGTTCTGACCGGCAGCCCTGTCGCGGGGATGGTCTACCTGGATCGGCCCAAGCCGGCCTTCTACTTCATCTTCTCCGACCTTTCCGTCCGCCATGAGGGCAAATACCGTTTCGGATTCAGTCTCTTCGAGGAGGTGAAGGAACCCGGCGATGCCGACAAATCGGATGCCACGGCCACTCCCGGCTCACCGGACCCCGGGGCTCTGTCGTACCGGTTTGATGTTCGCACGCAACCCTTCGTCGTCTACAGCGCCAAGAAGTTCCCCGGTCTGAACACCAGCACTCCCTTGAGCCGTCTGGTCGCCGAACAGGGCTGCCGGGTCCGCATCCGTCGGGATGTGCGCATGCGCCGCCGTGGCGACGCCAAACCCGGCCGCGAAGGTCCCTGGGATCACCACGACCATGAGAGCGCCCGCCCCGACTTGGCTGCACGCGTGTCGGCGACTCCTGACCCGCGCCTCCTGGCATACATGGACCCCGTCCCGCAATCGCCCAGCGACGCCAGCCGTCAATCTCATTCGGACGCCCCGTCTCGCCGTGCTTCGGTCCAGGACATGGGAGAGGCATATGCCGCACACGCCCACCAGCCGCCTGCGCCCCCGGCGTACGCTCCCTCGTACAACTCGCAGCACTACCCAGCCCCCAGCGGTCCATCGCAGTCCCACTACCAATCCCAAAATCACATGGCTCCGTCGCCGGTGGGACCGATGCCGTCACACCACCCGCAGTGGTCATACGGTTCCGCTCCGGCACCACCTCCTTCCCCTTCAGTCTACGAGCCTCACCAGCAGTCACTGTCCGAGCACCACCACCACCGACAACACCATCCCCACGCGACGCCTTCCCAGAGCTCTCCGCCAGTCCACTCCGGGTTCGCCCCTCACGCTCAGGAACCACGTCACGCCTACCCGGCTCCGATCACCACCCCCCGCCA